TATTTTTGGCATAATGTTTTATAATGTTATCTCGAGAACTATCCCAAAAATATTTAGTGGTGGAGAATTCATAAAAAGTTCCACTTTTGTGAGAATTTTCTTGGTATTTCTCATTTGTATATATGAAATCACTCTAATTTTGAGATGAGGAGCGTCAGCGAGATTCTCTTGCCATGGCAATTCCAGCCGGATTGATTGTTAAGTTTAATTAATTATAATCATTACTTTCAAGTCACTCTGTATGGTAAAATGTTTATTTTGTTAGAAGTTAGCGGGAAGAAGCAACCTACCCGCGACAGTGCCAATAAAGACAAACCAAAGGAAAGCGGTGGGGTGAACACTCGACCCAAAGTTCTACGCACCTTGCCAAAAAAGCGATAAATCGTAGTGAAGACAAGTGGAAGGAAGGTGGTGGGAAGGTGGAAGAAACAGTGAGATTCTCTCGCCATCGCAAGTCCACCTTTGTATGCTATCTATGTTTATTCTCTTACATAAATGAACTCAAGGGGAATCAATTCTTACAAGGAGCTTAACATAATCTGCACCAGTTGATGGATTCGAGGCTGTCTGAGGCTTCTAAAACAGGAGACATCCAGCTCTTGCACCAGTCGATGGCAGAGAATCCACTTCTGCTCCATAACCTTGCCCTAACTTCCATCGAGAACCCGCTACATGTCGCTTCGCTTGCCGGACATGTCGAATTTGTTCAGGAGATCGTGAAGTTGAGACCAGCATTTGTGCATGAAATGAACCACGATGGGTTCAGCCCCATGCACATCGCGGCAGCCAACGGGTATTTGGAGGTTGTAAGGGAGCTGCTGAGAGTTGACCCGAGACTCTGCCGGATGAAAGGAAGAGACCAATGGACTCCTCTTCATTATGCTGCTGCTAGAGGGAGGGGTGATGTCGTCGGAGAGATGGTTTTGGCTTGCCCGGAAAGTCTCGAAGACGTGACTCTGCATGAGGAGACTTCGTTGCACCTTGCTGTTAATAACTGCCAGTTTGAAGCAGTTAAAATTTTGGTTGAGTTGGTCATGGAACTGAGGAAGGACAACGTTTTGAATATGAAGGACAAATATGGCAATTCAGTTCTTCACGTAGCAACCTGGAAGAAACAACACCAGGTTAGTACACTATGATCAACTAATTTTCATTTGAATTTTTTTTTTGTTCTTTTGTTTTACAAGTCGATATTTTAGACTACTCTAAATGGATAGGGTGATTCTGGGTACAAGAGGGCGGAGCAGTGTGTCCGTCTCGTAACATTCAATTTCGAATTCCTATACCTGAGTAGTTTAAAATATTGTTTTGCCAAAAAACAAAATATGGATTAAAAAGCTCATAATCTTCACAGGTGGTGGAATGGATAGTTGGCAATAGAACAACTCCAAGTGCATTGGAAGTAAACATTGTAAACCAGAGTGGTCTAACACCTCTTGATCTGCTACTAATCTTCACGAGTGAAGCTGGCGATAGGGAAATTGAAGAGATCCTTCGTGGTGCCGGAGCTTCGAGAGCAAAAGACATACACCATACTCCCTCTAATTGTCCCATGGAAACAAATACCCTTCAGCTGCAGCAGCCAAACGACCCGACGGAATACTTCAAGTTCAAAAAGGGGAGAAAATCTGACGAAGATCCAAGCCCGGTGCTGCTAGTTGTCGCTGTACTAGTGGCCACCACCACCTTTCAAGCCGGACTCAGCCCTCCGAACGGCGGTTTGCACTACACCACTGGATCAAACAAGAATGGGACTGGCTGTGGGAGCAATGGTTTAGTAGTTCTCTATATGTTTTTCAACACGATTGGATTTTCGGTTTCGCTTATCATGATCGACTTCCTCACGCGCAACTTCCCTCTGCTGTTTAAGCTTCGATTTTGTATGGTGATGATGTACGGCACGTACACCGTTGCAGTTATCAGCACTGCACCGAAAAGCATGCTGCTCTGCATCACTTCGTCAACTCCATTATTTGTAGTGATTTTACAGTTGTGCTGTTGTATTAATTTGAAGGTGCCTTGGCAAAACCTAATAGGCTCTTTGGCTCCCTTACGCAGTTAGTTATTTTCAGGCCTGCCATTGCTAGCTAGACAGGTTGTTTATAGGTCATTTGCTTGCCCCACAAGTAAATTGTGCCTCTTATCAAAAGATTGTTCTATGGAGGGTTTAAATCTATATTAGGTTCTTTTCGATGCCTTGAAGATAAGAACTTTATATTTTTCTTGCATTGAATGCCAAAACAATGAACACAAACTGATCAGAAACGATCGAAGCCAGTTTGAAATCTTTGTTGCAAAAGAGAAAAGAAAAAAAAGAAGTAAAAACAGAAAGTAAAGCACTAGAAATAATAGTAAAAGCTGAAGGTAAACTGCTTGTAAATACTCGTGACGTGTTAACCAAAATGACATAAATTGCAGGAAAGGTAATAACTCGAAAGTAGGGCTGGTTTGGTATGAGATACCGAATCAAAAGTGGCATATCAAATTCCGAACCAAAAATTTTCGGGACGAAAATCTCATGACCGATCCCGAACCGAAATTTCAGGATTCCCGAAATATTTTCGGTATTTCGGAATTTCCCCAAACTAAAATTGCATCAAAATCCAAATCATCTAGATTGAAATTGAAATCATCTGAACCTGCATTACAAATCCAAATTGAAATCAAAGACATAGTGATAGTGAATCAGTGAAGATTTATGGTGGAGAGATAGAGTGAAGAGAGAGACCTACGTCTTCCTCCTGACCCGAGCCCCCAATTTGAAACCCTAACCTTAATTTGAAATCCCAAACACACAAAGAATCACTCGAGAGAATCGGAAGTGGGGATGAAGTCGTGAGGTGTGGTGGTGGCCGGAGTGGAGACAGTTTGTCGGAGTGAGATTGTTAGACTGTGGGTGGCTACTGAGCTTTGAATCCGAGAAAGAGAAAGGAGTCTGAGACTAAGTGAAGGCAGATGAGAAAGGCAAAATGAAATGAGAGAGAGTGAGTATGATGTCGACTCAGTTTTGGATTGAGTGGAAGGAAGGGTGGTTTCTGGGTTGCAGAGAGAAAGAGAGACAATAGAGAGAGAAGAGATGGAAAATAAGTGAGAGATAAAGGGTTAGGTGGTTTATGGGTTGCAGAGAGAGATGACTGATGAGACAGAAAATAAAAGAGAGAGAGAGACAGACAGAGTTCTGTCTAGAAAACAAGCACCCGTGACCAGAGATGGGCAAAATATCCATGGGTTTGGGTAACCGCGGTTACCCGTCCATTTAAAGTTCACGGTTACGATTATAGGTGACTGTTTAGATGAATAAACGGTTATGGGTATAACCGTTTATCCTTGAAATTTAAATGGACGGTTATGGGTATTATCCGCGGTTATAACAGGTATCCATCAGTTATGGGTATTACCCGCGGTTATACAGGTATCTATTTACCGATTTAATTTAATATATGTAAAAATTAAAAAAAAATTATCGCAAGTGTTCGAAATTCTTAAATAAAAAAGGACTTGATAGCGTAAATGTTTTTTTCCAAATTTACCCATAACTGAACCTACAATTACTCAAGGACTTTGAACACACAGACACACATACATTCACAAAACAACAAAAATAAAGTAATTAAAAACAAAAGTAACTAATAGTGGTGGGTGTGGAAAACGAGGCAACACCAAAAGCCCCATATGCGACAGAAAAAGGCAAAGACAGCGAACGGGCTTGGTTAGGTTCTGTCAGAGGTAAATTGAAAAAAAAATATTTACCGTTAGTTGGGCTTTTAATTCAGTCCATGAGTTTTTTTTTTTTAATATGGCTTTTAATACATCAAAACATTTACTGTTAGGTTATACGGTTATACAGGTATTACCCGCGGTTATAACGAGTCGATGATATTTTGTCATTGAATATGTTCGAAGTGTTTAGTTTTGGAATATTTTGAAGCTTTAAATAATCTAGTATTCAAGATAATGACTACTTTTTGTTTTTAGAAGCTTTACTTTGTAATCATATGGATTAGAATTAAAGACTTGCTTGGGTGTAGCAGAAAAATATCATTCGTAAACTATTATTTCAATTTATTGAAATTGTATGAAGACTTAAATGATTAAAATAAGAAAATGCATGCTAAAATGTACTTATAAAGGTGTTTAATTGTCAAAAAACGAAAATTATGACAAATTTTTCTTTTGTAATTTTCAGGTTGTTAAAAAAAACATGTAAAAGGGTGAAAAAGAGGTAAATGGGTAAAAAAAAGGATAAACGGGTTCAAAAAAGGGTAAATGGTTATGGTTAAATGGGTACACGGTTATGGGTATAAATAACCGTTTATAAACGGTTATGGTTATGAGTATAACCATTTATGCAATTACCCAACGGGTAAATGGTTATGTGGATATGAAACGGTTATGGGTAAATAACCACGGTTACCCCCGTCATAACCGTTCCACATCCCTATCCGTGACCCATCCATCCTACTTTTGTCAACACCACACCACACCACACTTTCGTGATTGTAATTATATAATAATAATCATTACACATTCCAACACCACACATTGACACACACACACACACATACACACACATATATATATGTATGTATGTATGTTACATTAGTAAAGTTTGGTTCAAGAATACCGAACTATTCAAAGTGTGAGACCAAATCCCATACCAAAAAATTCGAGATCGGTTTGGTTTCGGTACCAAAATTTTCGGGATTTTTGGTTTGATATTTTTTCAGTTTGGTTTCGGTATGGTTTGGGATTTTTAGTATTTTTTTCCAGCCCTACTTGAAAGTAAATGATAAATACAAGTGATCGGGCATAGTTTCAACCTATTCGGGCAAGTTTGGATGCCAAGCAAGCAAAGTCTTGGAAGTACAAGACATGTTTTGAGAAGTAAACTTTAATGCAAGAAATCGATACTACAAACGAAGTATCAGATTTATAAATACAGAATAATGTTTAAACTACAAAGGGAGTATGTGAAGAGTAGGTTGCAAAGCTTTTTTTTATGTTGAGTTGAGTGTCATTTTTTCAACATTTCTATTGCCTTTATAGAACCGCCCTTTTCTTCTAGAGTAAGCCTTTCCTCCTCAGCTCATTCTCTCTGGTGCAAGTAGCTGATACAATATGTTGTCAAAGGATGAGTTCCCACTTGGATACTTGAGCTTTTGATCCCCTTGAAACATATCATCGTTGGTGCATTCATCATAGAAGCTCCAGCTTCGTACTATCATAAACACCGTACATTTGCAATGGGGATGTGCTATCCACACACCCCTTGATAATTTCTGTCCGTTGATCTTCTTCAATTCATCCGATGCGACGGTCGAAAATTAAAAAGGTATGTGAGAAGTAAAATATGGTGTATGAATATCATACCCCTTTGCAATGTATTACGAAATTTTCCTTTCTTCTTTTGCTTTTTCTGATAAAAAAATTAAGGTTGAACAAATCAGACTTTGTGGTTCAAAAATCTAATGGAATCTTTGAGAGAAGGGTGGGATTCTTAACTTTGGGTTAACATAGAGTTGACGAAAATGTTAATTTTAGGCTTGAATCATAACGAGCTTCACCACAAGGGTTTAAATTCAATTTTTTTCACCACGGGAGTAATCTTCTGATTATCCTATCACCACGGGGACCATTAATCCAATTTAGCCACTAAATTATATTGCATCAACTGAACGAATATTTATTTTTATTGACGAATATAGATATAACCGTTAACCGATGGAGAATCCGTTATTCGGTGGGTATGGTTATGGATAATTAACGATGATTAATTTACGGTTATGGATAGAGTTAATTTTTATGGTTATTGGGATATAAATAGTATTTCCGTCCTCAAACCGAACTGTTGTCATCCCTAGCACTACCACATGTCTGTTTGATCCTTATATTTGTTTATGAGAAAAGTTAAGGAGACTTTCTCAAAGTGGGACTCTCCATAAACACTCTTTGCTACCTCATGTTTTTGATATGATACTTTATAATGTTGGCACGAAAATTGTGCCAAAAACATTTAATGAACGAGAATCCATAGATAGTTGCACTTATGAAAGAGTCTCCCTAACCATGGAAGAAAATGCCGATAATATCGGCGAAATATCGCCGATATTATCGGTTTTTCGGGTGATGGATATTCTAAGTGGTATCCGAATGGTTTTCGGCCAAATATCGCGATATTTTGGAAATATCGGCGAATTGTTTTTGAGTTTGGTGCAATCGGACTCCGAGGCGACGTCGGAGAAGAACGCCGGAGACGGTGTGCCTATTCCCGGGCCGATTTTGTCCCAAAAACCTTGCAAAAACACGAATTTTAACATCAATTTCACATATAAACTTCAGATTTCACGCATGCATAAACGATTCAACATATGTGAAGTCGGTTTAGGGTTTAGGGTTTCAATGGAATCTCACCTGACGAAGACGAAGACGAACCAGATGACTGAACGTGATCCTTGCTCAGCGGCGCACCGCCAGAGACGACTGAGCCAACTCCGACTTCGCCAGAGCCACGATCAACGGCGAAAGGAGAAGAGAGATCAAGAGATCTGTGTGTGCGTGTGTGTGTGTGTGTTTGGGAGAAAAGAGATCGGAGAAGGGAGAAGAGAGATCGGAGAATGGAGAAGAGAGATCTCCGATCTGTGTGTGTGTGTGTGTGTGTGTGTTTGGGAGAAGAGAGATCTCTGATCTCTGTAGATGGAGGGTGTGTGCGTGTGTGTGTGTGTGGAATGAGGGAGAAGTATGTGTGTGTTATCCGAGAGAAAGAAAAAAATACATTGAGGGTGTGTATGTGTGTGTGTTTGTGGCACACGGTTTGACACATGGTTTTGTATAAAACCATGGTTTGTGTGTGTGTGTATATGGTTATGTGTGTGTGTGTGTTATCCGAGAGAGTTTTGGCACATGGTTTTGTATAAAACCATGGTTTTGTGTGTGTGTGTGTGTATGGTTATGTGTGTGTGTGTTATCCGAGAGAAAAAGAAAAAAACTTTGAGGATGTGTGTGTGTGGCACACGGTTTTGTATGAAAGAATTGGAAGTGACTTTGCTCAGAAGAACCAAATATTCTGTCAGAGAAGAACCAAAAAATCTGCTTACTTTATCTTCTTCTCCACGTGAAGACCAAATTCTGTCAGAGAAGAACCAAAAATGCAATGTATAAAGTGTAAAATATTGTACTAATTCATTATATATAAATGATTATGGTGTGTTTAGACTTCTTTCATTAATTACTACATATTTTCTACACTCACAATGTTTGTCAGCTCACTATATAATCAACTTGATAATGTTAAATTAATCATGCAATGCATTTCCTTCCAATTTTTTGTGATAAACTAATAGATAATTGACTAAATAAACATCATGCAAAGTTTCAATAAAAATTTCCAAGTTTTTCTTACAATTTCCGTGGTTTCCATGTAATTTTTATCGATATCGATATTATCCCGATATTTCCATCGATATTTCCGTGTTTTCGGATTACCGATATTTCCGATATTACCGATATTTTCTTCCTTGTCCCTAACATATCTCATTTGTATATATGAAGGGTAATGCTAGAGAGACTAAATTTGGATACAAAACTTGCAAACTAAATGATGTGTCACCAATAAAATGAGCACGTTTATCAACGCTTAAGTAATAAACTAATCATCAATTTCCACGTCCTTAGTTTCTAAAATTTTATCTCCAAATTTAGTGTTCTAGCATTATCTTGAATGAAATCACTCTAATTTTGAGATTGGGAGTGTCAGCAAGATTCTCCCGCCGTCGCAGTTCCAGCAGAATTGATTGGCAATTAACATGAATTGATTGAGTACCATTAACTTTATTTGCTTAGTGCAAAGGGTTTGTCGGTTTATCTTAAAAGTAGATAGTATAAAAGCTCTTTCCCTCTCTTGTAATAACTAACTTTGGTAAGAATTCAGATATAGCAAATACTACAGAGCTCTATAGCTTTCTTCTTGGCAAAGCTTCTTCGTTACAACTTCTGCATCTATTTCATGATTTCAGTCTACAGTGTTTAATACTGTATACTATGTTTATTTTATTACACAAATCGAAAGAAATTAACGAGCAGAAGTAACCCAATAGCAACAGTGCCTATAAAAGTAAACCAAAAGAAAAGGTGGTGTAACAACGTTTTGAATATGAAGGACAAAAATGGCAATTCAGTTCTTCACGTAGCAACCTGGAAGAAACAACACCAGGTTAGTTCACTATGATCAATTAGGTTTCATTAGATTTTTTTTTTTGTTTTGTTTTAAAAGTCGATATTCTGAACTCCTCTAGTTAACGGATAGGGTGATTCAAACTTAGGTACAAGAGGGTAGAAATACTGTCTTGACCAACTAACCTAATTTGCACTTACGACCTTCCCTTCAAATTTGAAATAGAATGTATTCAAACCTAGAAATGTTGACATTTTAGCCAAAATAGTCTCTGAGATTGATATAACTCTTTATTTGGGTATTTAAATTTGTCCACCATCAACCTTTTTTTCTTTCTTTTAATAAACGATAATATCTCCAAAATGACAAAAATACTCTTTATTTAATAAACAATGAGCAAAAATGATTTGACAAAAAGTAAGGATATTTTTGTCAATTTATTCTTATTTAACCGTGATTTTTCACAGAATAACCAAAATGATTGATGGTGGACAAACTCAGAGACCAGTTCTTAGATTCTAAATCTCAATGACCAAAGTAAGGACTTGTATCAATCTCAGAGACTATTTTGAGTAAAAAGCCATTATTTTACTAATGACACCAATTTTATTAATCTAGAAAGAGGTGACTCACCAATTTGATCTGATCAAACCTAAAATGAAAAACAACGTAGTCATAGCACAAAAGAACTTATGAGGTAAACCAAATAGGTGGAGTAGTGTATCCGTCTCCTAACGCTTAATTTCGAATTCCTATATCTATATATTTGAGTAATCTAAAATATTGTTTTGCCAACAAAAAATATCGATTAAAAAGCTCATAATCTTCACAGGTAGTGGAATGGTTAGTTGGCAATGGAACAACTCCAAGTGCATTGGAAGTAAACACTGTAAACCAGAGTAGTCTAACACCTCTGGATCTGCTACTAATCTTCCCGAGTGAAGCCGGCGATAGGGAAATTGAAGAGATCCTTCGTGGTGCCGGAGCTTCGAGAGCACAAGATATAGGAGCTTCGAGAGCACAAGACATACAACATACTCCCTCTCATGGTCCCATGGAAACAAATACCCTTCAGCTGCAGCAGCCAAACAACCCGATGGAATACTTCAACTCGATGGGTTCTGACGACAATAATTTTTTTGCCCGCTTTGTGGGTACCAACTCGATGGGATTTTTCGTTTCACTTTACATGATCGGTGTCCTCACCAGCAATTTCCCTATGCAGTTGGTGCTTCTAATGTGTATTCACGCGATGTACGGCACGTACAACATTGCAGTTATCAGCATTGCACCGGCGAACCCGATGGTGTTTGTCTCTCTGTTGATTTGTGGTTTGCCATTTTTGCTTTCACTTGTAGTCCTATTTTGGCGGCTTATCAGGATCAGGCTTAGAGAACTGCATTAAGTGGTTCATTTATATTTGTACATAATAAGTCTATTTCCGGGATCAAATCATCGTTGCCGCATTCATCATAGAAGCTCCAGCTTCGTATCCTAGTCAGTCGTTACTATCTTAGGCCCCGTTTGGGGTTGCACTGCTTTTTTCAGCTTATTTTAAAAGTTTAGGTGTCTAATGCGTTTGGTAAATAACAAGAATCCCGCTTATTTTAAAACTTTCGGTCCCTGACAGCAATTCAGAGAAAAAAATATACCTACGTACTAACCCATCCCAAATATCCAGAATTGCTCCATCATCAATCTCCATTAACTATAGTTTGGGCGGTCAGTGGCGGGCATGAGATAAGGAGTGTTAGAAATTAGATCAGGTATTGTTCTTATCAATTTTGGCATTGGCTGCCAAAAATGCCAAAATTGTTTAAGTTTCTCTAAATGTGTGTGCTCACAAATATTTCTCAAACTCCAGACTTGCTACCTCCAATCTTGCGACTGCGTTTGAAATTACTTTTTAATTTCTGGAAAACAAATAAATATATGAAACGTTTTAGCATGTCTTTTTCGGTCATTGTACATGGTTACACTACTTTTGCAAAAATATTTATCAAATAACTTGACACTGCTTTTTATACTAACAGCACTTTGGTAAATCTAATTTACCAAACACTTACTGCTTTATTTCACGGTTAATTATACTCAAAGCACTGCAGAAGCAGTTTTTTTTTTTTTTTTTTTTTTTTTTTAAGCACAGCAATACCAAGCTGGCAATACGGTACATTTGCTATATATTACGAAATTTCGGGTGGGAAAACTTCTTATACGATGATGCGTAAAGAATTCAGTACAAAAACCGTAAAACAAAATTATTTGTACTACTATTTGATTTATGATGGTGTGTTTTTTTTTTTTTTTTTTTTTTTTTTTTTTGACGGAGATTTATGATGATGTTTATTCTATATGTCGACATCTTTGCCGGCAGCAATAGATACCGTCGTTTGATACTGCAAATTAAAACCCCGTGGATGCGCAAATTCGAGCCAACCTTATGTATTGTAGGGAGAAAGGAACAATGTTTTTGGTAGCACAAAAGTTCATAGTCTTCTAGTTGGAGTAATCTAATTAAGGCTTTAATATTGGTGCAGAAAGTTTTACCAAATGATCATCTTTCAGACATATATCACAATGGCGATCTTTGATCACAATGACTTGTACTGCTCGATCAAACGAGAAGCATGGAGGCGCGATGTAGGAGCCACGGTGCAGCCCAAACTTTGCAGATAAGAAATCTGGTAATTCACAACACGAGAAACGAATTACCGGGTCTCAACCATCCTAGATACCAATGTGCGCACAAGAAAAGGTGTAAGGTAATCAAATGCCGAGTCTTGCGTACCTGTTTCGGTGTTGGTTCGGATGAACCCATTGAGTTCTCAATCCGTAACTTCTGGAAATGCTCCTGAAAGCATAAATATATGTATGGATTAAAACCAATGACAAATGGACATAATTTACGGACAGTGCTTGAAGAAAATACAGATATAAACGCTTCGGTATTTCATTAACGCAAGTTCTAGATTTTGATGTATCAAATGTCCCACGTCGAGACCACGTTAAGGAAAATGGTTCTAGAAATTGGCTCAGAACTTGAATCATAAGTTCAGACAACGAAAAGCAATAGTTTGCTACCGAAAACAATCAAAGTATGGCAAAGTGAACCGTCTTAAACCTAACCTGTTTCTCCCTCATCAAATGAGCACGTTGATCTGCAGGTATTTTCTGCCATCTCAAAACCTGTTACAAAGAAATATAACGTTGATGTCGAGCTGGTTAGCATATTATACCAATTATGTGCGCAAACCTATTGAAATGAAGTAGATGTAGTTGCATATTACGACAGATGTTAACGAAGAAAACAGAAGGCTCGCCTGTTAGAGATGCTAAATCCAGTGATCCTTTTGTTTTTGGTTTCAGAAATTTTCAGAGCACAAATCGGAAAGTACCAAGAATACTTACATATTGGGCATAATGAAATGCATCTTCATCTTTCAAGCAAGATTTGAGTGAGCGCAAACCGTCCTGAGAGTTACATAGAGTCAATCAGTAATATAAAAACGTAGATGCATCACACCAAAACACAAGTATTCAAATTTCAAACACAGACAACTTCTGCACGTGGTGAGGCATGTTAAATGATAGGGGTAGAACAATTATTGAGTTGGAAGTTAAAGGACTAAATTTATGACCTTGTGCTTGTAGT